GTATCTGACCCTCACTTTGATCTATTCTCATGAAGCGGATTATTTCTTCTTTTGAGTAGCTGACAACATCGTTCTGGACACTAGCCAGAAGGTCTATTTTGCTTCTGTTTAGTTCTTTGGACCCAGTTTTCCACGTTAGAATGAATAATGATATCATGATGAATATAAGTAGACATCCGATAATAAACTTGTTACATCCAGTACAACCCAAGATGTCAGCCGACTAACAAAAATAAAGAAAACTAGCATGTTCATAGTTTTTCTAACGAGCATACTTAAGCTGTACGGAAATAGTTCACATAGCCATGTGTCTACGCGTACTGCGTGACGCGCTTGTTTCACAAGTAGATCTTTTGCCGCCTTCGGCGGTCGCGCGCTACTGCAAGCGAGAGGGCCCTGGTTAAAGCAACGGAATTAGCTTTAATTCTACGTCATATTAAAAACTTTACATCATTTTTGAGATACTTGGAGGACTTCGCCGCTTCGACGCGCGTTGCTTCGCAGAGCAACGATCTCGACGGATTGACATCGTCAATCAATTGAGATACAAAAATAAATTTTAAAATAAATAACTCTTTTGCTGCTTAGGCGCGCTGAAAACAGCCCAGAAAAACTTACCGGCTGGCCGTGGTACTAGAGGTGTTGTTTTTCGATTGCACGTGTGTCAGCGCGCGTGACGTCACGTTCACTGCATTATCGCTCGCGTGAATTACAATCTGGAGTCATGACAACGACATTACTTCTTGACCATTGTTAATGATCAAGCCCGGCGCGCGCTACTTCGTAGCACTTGCCATGTAACATCCGTCAACATAACTTCGCAAAGTTTAAAATGTAAAAGCTGCGATCTTAATTTATTTACAATGTACAATTTAGCCCAAAATCAAACGTTTCGCGATAATTCAAAATCTACATTGTTTTGAATTTGGCTCCTGTACTGGTATGGGGAGCCTACTTTAGTTTTACGAGACGGACATTTTGTTGAAAACCAAACGTTTCTATCTCTTTTACTTCCGAAGTTAGGCCCCTAACGGTAACAGGTAAGGTTTCCTGGAATCGTGTTTTCCAAAATTTTTCCTTTCCGAGATAAGTACCCATTTTATAATTCATATACCTTATCTAAGTTTGAATATTGTCACTCCGCAAGCGTTTTTGCCAAATTTTCGACGCGCACTACGCGCAAAAGCAAAAAGCAATTAATTGTTAATAATTGTCCAATTAATGGTTAGGTTTCAAAACGCATAGCAAAAAACATAAATACGTCTTTTTAATTTTGCCCGTATAGTAAGAGCCTCTATTAAAAAAGGGTTCAACCCGATTTTCTTGTGAAATTTGATTTCGAGATAACATTTTACCAATGGCAATAAACTTAGGCGCGGCATGTGACCGAACTTTTGAGGGGGTTCCGGACACCGGTGTCCGGATGCCTTGTCATACGTTGTATGACCCGCCGCGCACGAAGTGCGCGGCTCCCCCTTTATCGTCAGGACGATACAGTCGTTTCACCATAGTGAAACGACTGTGGGGGTCGCAACGTGATACAACGGATGCCCTAGTGTGGTTGGTTTTATCCGATTTTTTTAGATTTTTATGGAGGTTGTACCATTGTAAAACTTACATTGTGACAGTATAGATGGCGAAAAATTTTTGAAAATGGTCCTAACACAGCTTTGATCATAACAATAACATTGGGTGAATAGATTGGGTGAACAAACTATGAAGCAGGCAATTATATGTGCTCATCCATCATTCTGCATATGTAAGCTCAGTAGTTTAATTGCTGATTCATACTCAATGGTGAATCGATAGAATTCATGTGTCGGAGATCTCGTGAGAACACCTTTTAATAATTATAGCCCTCAGGATCGCATTATCCCGATCCGGCCGTAATGTGTATTGAGGTATGCACTAATTGTAGTGGTGAACGGTTGCAGCTCAGGCTATGTTTCAGTATAACTGTATATCAGAGATCGCAGTATATTTACATTCTACTCGGATTGCAGATTGAAATATTTTCCTGTTGGAACCATGACACATGCAGGGGAATACCAAAATATTAATTGTAGTTGTACAACTAATATGATCAATAATTAATAACGGCAACGCTAATTTGTCCTTATTGGACTTTATTTTTACGGACATAAGTTAATAGTTGCTGCAAATGCCAAATGCTACAACTACAAGTTAAGCCCTATAAGCGTTCATTTTAATGTCCGTTCGATTTAATTTTAATATCCGTTCGAATATTGGCGGACGTTTTAAATTGTAATTAAATAGACCATTGAGCGGTCGCGTTTATTTTAATGTCCGCTCAAAATTATTCCCGTTCACATTATTTCCGGTTGCAGTACGGGTAAAATAACGTCCGAATAAAGCTATCCGATAAGCTCAGGCAGAGCTTTCGGACTGCGTAAAACTAAACAACTTGAAACGTTGAAGAACGCCGTTAAGACATCTGTTGTTAACTCACCTAAAACACAAACATACGTCATACAGTCCAATGGCGAAGAATTCACAGCCAACTGAGCAAGTCATAAGCTCGGAAACGCTCAAAAGCGTAGTAAAACGTGTTGTCGAGGAAGAGGACCGCAGTCTAGTCGCAACGTCATTGTATTTGGTCTGTTACAAGGGAGCGAGATATATAGAGAACTTATTGACACAGTTAGCGTGATTTTCCAAAACATTGGACAGAAACCGAAGATTGTTGAAGCGTGCAAAATTGCCAGAAAATCTAAGGACAATTTAGTTACAGCATCATTAATAAATGAGCAATTACGTTATTCGTTTAAGTTATTGCAAAATATTTGATTCCAATAAATAAAATCCGCCTTGTGCCGCGTGCGCTAATTTACTAATTCTGTACTCGCCTGCGTACACTGTACTGTACAGTGTACAGCAGGAGCAGGCCTGCAGGCATCATGCTACATGCGATTTTACAAATAATGTTCGACTTCAATTTAGACTTTCAGTTGTTGTAGTTGTACTGTATACTAATTGTGTCGGTTTATATATTTACCAGGCGGCGCTCAAATTGCATGATCAATAACGCTAATTTGTCCTTATTGGACTTTATTTTTACGGACATAAGTTAATAGTTGCAAATGCCAGATGCTACAAGTTAAGCACTAGCGTTCATTTTAATGTCCGTTTATTTTAATATCCGTTCGAATTTTGGCGGACGTTTTAAATTGTTAGTAAATAGAGCATTAAGCGGTCACGTTTATTTTAATGTCCTCTCAAAATTATGGCTACGCCCGTTCACATTATTTCCGGTTGCGGTACGGGTAAAATAACGTCCGAATAAAGCTATCCGATAAACTCAGGCAGAGCTTTCGGACTGTAAAACTGGACAACTTGAAATGTTGAAGAACGCCGTTAAGACATCTGTTGTTGACTCACCTAAAACACAAACATACAGTTCAATGGCGAAGAATTCACAGCCAAAGCTGAGCAAGTCATAAGCTTGGAAACGCTCAAAAGCGTAGTAAAACGTGTTGTTGAGGAAGAGGACCGCAGTCGCAACGTCATTGTATTTGGTCCGTCACAAGGGAGCGAGATATATAGAGAACTTATTGACACAGTTAGCGAGATTTTTCAAAACATTGGACAGAAACCGAAGATTGTTGAAGCGTGCAGAATTGCCACGAAATCTAAGGACAATTCAGTTACAGCATCATTAATAAGTGAGCTTACGTTATTCGTTTAAGTCTGTCTGTCTGTCTGTCTGTCTGTCTGTCTGTCTGTCTGTCTGTCTGTCTGTCTGTCTGTCTGTCTGTCTGTCTGTCTGTCTGTCTGTCTGTCTGTCTGTCTGTCTGTCTGTCTGTCTGTCTGTCTGTCTGTCTGTCTGTCTGTCTGTCTGTCTGTCTGTCTGTCTGTCTGTCTGTCTGTCTGTCTGTCTGTCTGTCTGTCTGTCTGTCTGTCTGTCTGTCTGTCTGTCTGTCTGTCTGTCTGTCTGTCTGTCTGTCTGTCTGTCTGTCTGTCTGTCTGTCTGTCTGTCTGTCTGTCTGTCTGTCTGTCTGTCTGTCTGTCTGTCTGTCTGTCTGTCTGTCTGTCTGTCTGTCTGTCTGTCTGTCTGTCTGTCTGTCTGTCTGTCTGTCTGTCTGTCTGTCTGTCTGTCTGTCTGTCTGTCTGTCTGTCTGTCTGTCTGTCTGAGCTGTCTGTCTGTCTGAGTGTCTGTCTGTCTGTCTGTCTGTCTGAGTGTCTGTCTGTCTGTCTGTAATTTCCGAGCGGCTTAATTAAGAAAACGGTAAGAGTTACGGCAGTCTCTATATTTACTAGGCGTTTTTAATGCTAAATGTGTTTCACTTTCAGTGTTTCATAGGTAATGAAACATATTAACATAATATTAATATTATGAATTGGGTCATGCCATGTGAATTTTATATGCTAATCTGCATTCATCACGCTTTTTATACTAATAAATTATTCTTATGTAATGAGTAAGCACGAGAATTTACCTATGATACTAATACTAATAATAATAATAATTAGAACCCATAGATTTATTTTTTCTGGCATTACCATTTAGTGACAAAATTCGTGCTACCCAGGGTCTGCAGGCCACCTGGCCACCCATGATGGGGTGTCATAATCATGTATTTGTAACTTGCGGTGGATCGAACAAGTAGCTTCAAAACTATTTGGACTGTAATACTAATATGTAATAGCCCCTAAGCTTATTAAACAACATAACTCATGATGCTAATTTGCTCAAAAGACACTTTTAACACATTTCTCAAGGTAACTTCATGATAGCTATTAGAGCCTCAGACGTGTTACCGAAGCTCTAATGTTCTACAAAAAAATGTATAATCATGTTTTTGGCTAATACTATGACAAAATTAAAAACTACTCTTTTCGTAATTCATTTATTTGCAAAACTTTGATTATCAGAACAGTATTTCAATAATAATAGTAATACTATTTTCCAAAAGTGCTTATCTATCAAAAGTTTATTAACATCTACTTTCAGTTTATAGATTACACTAATCTTAAGTCTATTAATCGAAATCCTTAAATAATTCCCTGTTAAAGGGCGTATCTTTAACTTTCTTCGACTTTGGAGTCGAGTCTGTATCAGTTCTGTACCGCTTGTGCGTTACTCTACCCGAAAACTCTTTCCGTGCAGCTCCTATCTGGAGGACACTCATCAATTGAGTGTCATCAGTCCGTCGTCGTTGAACAGCGTGGGACACAAGTGCGACAGTGTGCTCCACAGATTGACTATGGCAAGGAATCCTACAAACCAGAGGGGCTTCCCGTATCTTTTCCAGTTCAGCACTTGACATTACGGAGAGGAGGGGAGGGCACGTTACTCGCTCCCACTCATTGTCGTACGTCTGGAAGAATATCTTCATTGGAACCGGACCGTTCTCTTTCTGAATGAAGGGCAAATTAGTTATTTGATCGGTAAATCGTAATAATAATATAACTGAAACAGGGACAGAGTTCGTGGTATATTTGACAGACTAGGTAGACTCAGCAAATTAGTTAACAAATTCTGCATTCTGCTAGTTCAGTAGAATGAACGCACAGTCTTACTTTTCGTTTGTCAGATTTTGATGCAAAAGCATAATATCGGCAGACTTACTAAGTCTGCCGATCACTTAACATGGTCACTTAACATGGTAAAGTATCGTCAAATGGTTTGGAAATCAAACCATTGCATAATTACAATATCACTATAGTTATACATGCTCTATAAACTCACCTCAACTTTCATTCTGACCATCTCAAAATATGTCGTACATTTGAAGACTATCTTCGGGCACTTGAAATGTCGGATTCGTCTAGGTCGTCGAACGCCAGACTCTCTTTCAACGTGCTTGTCCCACTCCTCTGAACGACGAATATTCTTTACGATCCCTATTCCTTTCTCTCGATGGTCTCTGTTGTGATCGCCTGGATAATAAATATGTATATAAAGTTTTTTACAATAGATGTAAAATATTGTTGGTTGGATATTGTGTTAAAGTCAAGTGATTCTAAGAGCACCTGCACATTTATAATTTATAACCGCAAGAATTCGGACGTAAGCACAGAATACCACTACCAGCTGAATATTCACTGCTCTGATAGTAATAGTATCATATTGTTATTTTAAGTGTGCCTAGCTATATTACCCACTTTCCGTATTCATTTTTTGTTGTTGTTATTCTTACCTAGCATGGCGAGTATCACACTCTCGGGATGAGCCATATAGCCGTTCTGTTGTATTGACTCGAATATGACCTTACGCTCTGCTGGTTCGCAGTGTTCTCTTGTGAACCGTATTTGGTCAAATAGGTGGGCTGGGGCGTCTATTAAGCTGCTCTTCATCTTGATGTTGGCAAACACCTATTGAGATTTAGTCCGATTTAATAGAAATTCTGAGTAACTTTGGTACTTAAGGGAAACATAGGCTGAACATTCTCTGATTTTCATCAATATTGTAAGAGCATTTAAATTTGAATAAACATTAGCAATCAATTCACAAGTGCCAGCACTGTAATCTGATTTTTACCTTGTAATAGACATTTACAATAAAGTTGACCATCCTCTCTAAACACTCCGAAATATGGGAGTTGTAGGTAAGATCCCCCGAAATGTAAAATCGGAGGATTCTGGCCCCAAACGTAATCCACCGAGCAGTGGAGCAGTTTCCTATCGCGTTATACACGAATTCGTCGTGTAAACCAGTCTCGACAGTGATGCAGTACTTATACATAAGTTTTGCATCATTTGACATCTTACTCAGCGTCTGAAAAAAAACAGATTGTTATTAATTTTAACGTTGCTAGGTAAGAGCTCTATGATTTTGTCGAACATTATCGCAATGATTGATAAACATGGAACTGCAAAACGGTTCAGTAAGTTATCTTCCCAGCAAATTATAAACGTAGTTACTATCTAACAATAAGATTATCCATTATTAACCATATCAATTTTAAATTATATATCACCTCTTGGGGCAGTCGAGGAAAACCTTTGCCAATCTTTTTAAATACTCTAACTGGTTTCAGCCAAAGTTCGTTGGACATAATGAAGGGCCCCATAGGTCCGTCAAAGTCACCAGGTGCTGTAATGATATATAATAATGATATACACGTTATTTTGAGTGTAAGTGTAAGAATTAACGATGATAATATTAATTGTAAAGTGAAATTTATTGGCGTAGTTATCGAGGAAATCCCTGCAATCGTTATAGTAATAAGGAATGTTTAATACTGTGGAAATTCTGAACTGTTATTTTAAAATACTATAACATATCTTCAAATTTAAAATAAATAACACACCCTTGGTACTTCCTCCATAGTGAAAGTACAATTTTCTCAAGGGGAGTTCCACTTGGTGTAAGAGGCACAGGGCTCTTTGGAGTGTTCGATGTAGCAGAACCTCAAACTCTCGAAAAGCACCTCCCTGAAAATTGTTTATTTTAATATGTTTTAACGAACGAAATGGTTGTCTAATAGTATCCAATGCTCAGCTAAAAGATGAAAAGTTCCTTATCTGAAATGAAAAATAAGTTATTTACTTACCAGATAGCCAGAATTAACACTAGTGTTGTCTCCACCTATACACAATGTTTTGTCCGTGCTTATCCCTCGACTTTCAAAGTAGTTACACAATCCCAGAGCAAGGCCTTTACCTGTGGTATAAAGATTAAGTAATCAACAAAGAATCGGCATAAATGTAACATTGTAACTGCAGAACCTATTCCGGAAATCTAATGCAACATTAAAATGGAACGAGACATATATAACGTTAGTCGTTAGACCGTTTATTATGTACCAATGATCAAAATAACATCGCAATGTATAAAAATATATTCATCTAAGTATAATCTTTATCTAGTGCTTACCAGTCGATTGCTCAGGAACAAACATCCCCAAAGGGATCGCACCAGGCTGTTCTACCACAGAGTAGTGGCTCCGTTTCCCCACACTATGTCGTATGTGACCTTTTTCATCTTTTTGGCTCATCCTTATATTCTTATCCTCCTTTCCGTCAAAGAATATTGCTGCAAAATAGCTGTTTTTAATCTAAAGCGTACTAATTCTAATGGTAAAGTTAATGTCGCTGTTTATTTTTAAAATTGGTAATATAAACATGTTCAAAAGTTAAAAAATAACCTGGTGAAAACATTATATTATGTACAAACCTAACGGAGAACGAGTAGACAGAGCTTCAAGCCTCTTTTTCCCATCTCTTCCACGGATGCTTTCGAGTTTTGACCGGGGAACAACATATGGCTGCTGCAGGAGACCACCCTTGTAAAGTTCTTTGCAAAACAATGTTAACGTGCGTGCATTCGACTCCGTGCCGGCAGAATTTCTTTCCAACTCAGCTGCCATACCATCCAGATTGCAGTTCAGATAAGTGGACACCGTGACTCTCGGAGTGCTAGCAGAAGAACTGGAAGAGGCTGGTTGATAATCACGATCCTTTTCATCTCTCGGGTCAATGTTAGTGTGTTGGCTTGCCGAGTCCTCGCTTATATAAGCCTGTCGTTGATATCATAAGTATATTTTGTATTATTATCCGTGATCGGTGATTCAATTAATGGCCGGGCATTTATCTACTATTTAGTGAAAATAAAAGTTGTGTTATGTGATCTCAAATTGTTCATTGCAAACAATCAATTACAGTGTCGGCTCAGAGATTAAAATTAATAATTTGACAGTCAATGGTATTAATATTATTTTAGTTTATAAACTTTTAAAATAAATAAGCTATGTTAAACAAATAATTCTGTATTCGTATTGAAACGTGCTTACTTGCAATGATGCTGATGTAGTAACGTCACTGAGAACAGGAGTGATGAGATTAACTTGCACAGGGGCTTCAACTTCAAGTTTCTTTTTGGGTAGGACATCAAAAGGTTCATTTAGACTGTCGGTGAACTTGTCCATCGTAGACTTTGCCGTATTAACTGAGAGACCTCGAAGTTTTGTATTGATGATTTTGATTTTCCTGTAATAGTTTCAAATTACAAACAGCGTAACCAATGTGACAAGAAATATAAAGCATAAACACAAAATATTAAGTAGTATATATTATATATAGAACAAATTATGAATATCAGTCACGATTGGCAATTATCCACATCGCCCGCATCGGACATGATCGCTAAATGCAAACTGGATAAACAGAAACTGAATAGATATCAACAAATCGGAAAAATCACTCAGATATGAAGTTTATGATCGGATAGTATGTATGTATATTGACAACAAATATGAAGCATAAAAATATGCAACTTACCCAGCAATAGTAGGTGAAATTCTACGAACTTCGGACTTTTCTGTGACATCGTACAAAGAAAGCAGGTCAACAGCAACAGGACGGTAGAAATCAACAATCGAAAGTTTTTTCTTTCTACCAGTGTTGGCTTCTTCGACGAGAAAGAGTAAATGTGATAAAACATGACGTAGCAGAGTTGGACGGCAAGAGGGATTTAAACGATCTGGTTTAACAAAATCTTCAAGTTTCATGGTGGGCTCAAAAGTTTATAAAACTGGTGTTATTGATGCAGATGGCGTTGTTTTATTTATAGTTATATGATTATTGAATATTGAGGCTAATTGTGGGAATTGAGAAGCATAGATATTGGGCACATCAAACGATTTTTTTGCAGGGCATTTGAACTTCGGTAACAGTAATTTAGAAGTTACCTTGAACAATGTGTTAAAAGTGTCTATTGAGTAAATTAACATCATGAGTTATGTCGTTTAATAAGCTTAAGGGCTATTAAAGTCCAAATTGTTTCGAAGCTAATTGTTCGATCAACCGCAAGTTACATGATTATACCACCCCGTCATGGGTGGGTAGCACTAGCACCAATTTGACACTAAATGGTAATTTCAGAAAAAATAAATCCATGAGTTCTAATTATTATTAATAGTAGGTAAATTCTCGTGCTTACTCATTACATAAGAATAATTTATTAGTATAAAAACCGTGATGAATGCAGATTAGCATATATAATTCACATGGCATGACCCAATTCATAATATTAATATTATGTTAATATGTTTCATTACCTAGGGACCTCAGCTTTTGTGTTTATAAACAGAATGACAAGTTGAACGCCGCCTAGTAAATATATAGACCACCGTAACTCTTACCGTTTTCTTGATTAAGCCGCTTGGAAATTACAGACAGACAGACAGACAGACAGACAGACAGACAGACAGACAGACAGACAGACAGACAGACAGACAGACAGACAGACAGACAGACAGACAGACAGACAGACAGACAGACAGACAGACAGACAGACAGACAGACAGACAGACAGACAGACAGACAGACAGACAGACAGACAGACAGACAGACAGACAGACAGACAGACAGACAGACAGACAGACAGACAGACAGACAGACAGACAGACAGACAGACAGACAGACAGACTTAAACGAATAACGTAAGCTCACTTATTAATGATGCTGTAACTGAATTGTCCTTAGATTTCGTGGCAATTCTGCACGCTTCAACAATCTTCGGTTTCTGTCCAATGTTTTGAAAAATCTCGCTAACTGTGTCAATAAGTTCTCTATATATCTCGCTCCCTTGTGACGGACCAAATACAATGACGTTGCGACTGCGGTCCTCTTCCTCAACAACACGTTTTACTACGCTTTTGAGCGTTTCCAAGCTTATGACTTGCTCAGCTTTGGCTGTGAATTCTTCGCCATTGAACTGTATGTTTGTGTTTTAGGTGAGTCAATAACAGATGTCTTAACGGCGTTCTTCAACATTTCAAGTTGTCCAGTTTTACAGTCCGAAAGCTCTGCCTGAGTATATCGGATAGCTTTATTCGGACGTTATTTTACCCGTACCGCAACCGGAAATAATGTGAACGGGCGTAGCCATAATTTTGAGAGGACATTAAAATAAACGTGACCGCTCAATATAGCTTATGACTTGCTCAGTTGGCTGTGAATTCTTCGCCATTGGACTGTATGACGTATGTTTGTGTTTTAGGTGAGTTAACAACAGATGTCTTAACGGCGTTCTTCAACGTTTCAAGTTGTTTAGTTTTACGCAGTCCGAAAGCTCTGCCTGAGCTTATCGGATAGCTTTATTCGGACGTTATTTTACCCGTACTGCAACCGGAAATAATGTGAACGGGAATAATTTTGAGCGGACATTAAAATAAACGCGACCGCTCAATGGTCTATTTAATTACAATTTAAAACGTCCGCCAATATTCGAACGGATATTAAAATTAAAATGAACGGACATTAAAATGAACGCTTATAGGGCTTAACTTGTAGTTGTAGCATTTGGCATTTGCAGCAACTATTAACTTATGTCCGTAAAAATAAAGTCCAATAAGGACAAATTAGCGTTGCCGTTATTAATTATTGATCATATTAGTTGTACAACTACAATTAATATTTTGGTATTCCCCTGCATGTGTCATGGTTCCAACAGGAAAATATTTCAATCTGCAATCCGAGTAGAATGTAAATATACTGCGATCTCTGATATACAGTTATACTGAAACATAGCCTGAGCTGCAACCGTTCACCACTACAATTAGTGCATACCTCAATACACATTACGGCCGGATCGGGATAATGCGATCCTGAGGGCTATAATTATTAAAAGGTGTTCTCACGAGATCTCCGACACATGAATTCTATCGATTCACCATTGAGTATGAATCAGCAATTAAACTACTGAGCTTACATATGCAGAATGATGGATGAGCACATATAATTGCCTGCTTCATAGTTTGTTCACCCAATCTATTCACCCAATGTTATTGTTATGATCAAAGCTGTGTTAGGACCATTTTCAAAAATATTTCGCCATCTATACTGTCACAATGTAAGTTTTACAATGGTACAACCTCCATAAAAATCTAAAAAAATCGGATAAAACCAACCACACTACGGATGCCCACCTGTGACCGCGGGATCGGTCCGATCGGAGGAGAGCCACGTCAATATTTGGTTGAGGTGCTCTACTTGTATACTTGTTATGTTATGTACTAGTGCCAATGGTCCCCTGAAGTCTGAACTCGTATATGAATTTTCATTTGTAGGTTTACAACCTACCAGGACGCGCGCCGAGTTGGACTCGTCGACGGTCCTGTATATGGAACAAATATTTTACGAGTATCACCCGTTAAATTTTCATCAAGTTTTGACAAAAAATGAGTTATGATGTATGAACTAAAAACCATATATCAATATTTGGACATACGCACCAAATTTGATAAATTTTAGCCCATAAATTGGTCAATTATCAATATTTTGGATGAGACAAACTTTATATGGAAGATAAGCCTATATTTCATATTTTCTATGATTATCAGCTCAATATCTAGTCTACCTAACTGTGGATTTTGTGTTCAAATAATCGCAAAAAATGAACAAAATCGCCCAGATCTCAGTTCGCGATAATTGCGAAACTGATTTTGCTCAAAACAATATAAATATAACTCAAAAGGGTGTCAATATTTCTACATGAAATTTTCAGAATCAACGTAGAATTATCGCATTTCGACTTTAATTTGCTCCCTACTCTTGCCGAATAAGAAGGCAAAAAGATCGTAGGGAATATAAAGTAATCGGGCTTGGATATATGATCGAGGTAGCCCGATGGACCTGCGTTGTCGACAAAAGTCTGCTCCTTCGCGCAATATAAACCACGACCACTCCCCTATATATGTGTATAATAATGTGTATAAAAAGAGTCTGTATTGCGCGCGCGAGCCAGTTATGTGTTAATTACATAATTAATTACAGGCATAGCAACCAGTTTTTGGTGCTTGACGACTGTTACACTGTACACACGGATCAATTATCAATTTAAGTGTTATTTTGGTGAAACAAGCTTAATAAATTACCGAGTGATAAAATTCAGCAAGTCAAAATCAAAACAAATAAAATTATGTTATCAGCTGATAGTGATAGACCATAGACTCGTGGCTGATTATTTAACAGTTAATCGACACTGAATGGTAAAAAGCGAATACAAAGTTAAGAACAGAAGGGCGGTGCGATAATCATTGTCACCCCTCAGATAATCAAGGATATCACTTCTGCCAAAGTTGAGGACCCTTTGAGATACAGACCTTTGCAAACTGATCCTACTGGATCTTTGAGAGGGAGGTTGTTAGAGCTGTGGTCATCTGGTTTGGAGCGGAAGTATGTTAGTGGCGAACAGTCTAAGTGTGTGGTTGGTTTGATTCAGAAGTCTGATCAGGACACTCTTTCACAGAGCACTTCAGATCTAGTTAAGCCCGATATTCCGGGACCTTTACTGATAGTTGAAATTCGACATATGACGTCATATAGCGTCATCTAGCGTCATCTAGCGTGAAATATCGCCAGATGATGATAGATGACGCTAGATGACGCTAGATGACGCTAGATGACGCTAGATGACGCCAATTAGCGACATTGTCGCTAAGTGCACGTAAGCTAGATAGCGCTATCTAGCGCTATCTAGCGTAAACTGTCACAAACCGACATTCTCCGCTAGATAACGCTTGTTAGCGCTAGATAGCGCTATCTAGCGATAGATAGCGCTGCGTCAGATGTCGTTGCGACATATAGCGTTAGATAGCGCTAGATACCGCTAGATGTCGCAAAAAAAGGGCGGAAATTTTATGAAAATGTCGCCTGGCGTCAGTGCTGCGTGCTTAGCGTCATCTAGCGTCATCTAGCGTCATCTAGCGTTATCTAGCGTCATCTAGCGTCATATAGCGTCATATAGCGTCATATAGCGCTAGATAGCGCTAGATAGCGCTAGATAGCGCTAGATAGCGACATTCGAAAGGTGCCGTGCACTTAGCGACAATGTCGCTAATTGGCGTCATCTAGCGTCATCTAGCGTCATCTAGCGTCATCTATCATCATCTGGCGATATTTCACGCTAGATGACGCTAGATGACGCTAGATGACGTCATATGTCGAATTTCAACTATCAGTAAAGGTCCATATTCCGTATGGTTACCCATTACTGAAAATTCACAAGCTGACTGAGACTGAAATTAGAGAGAAAAAGATTCCACCCAGTCGATTCGTGACTGATCTCTCTAGAGGAGTAACTGCAAGATCAGATAAGTTTATTGTTTGGAAGTGGTTGGGACCTCTTGCCAGGGATTACTGTATAGATCTTGTTAAAGATTCAACTGCAGCTCTCATAAAACTCGAGGAATTGGCAGCTTCCGGACAAGTAGTCGATACTTGGTTCAGCTTCAGTATTGATATTGTTTCTCTATACGATTCTCTGCAACATAGCTTGGTGATGTCAGCCTTAGATGATGCTATTATATGGAGTCGTGTAGACCAGATTGGTCTGAGGAGTTGAGGACTTGGCTGAAGGGACTGATACAGCTTAGTTTTGATTCGGCAGTCTTGAAGAATGCAGACAACTGGTATGAGGTCGTTAACGGTGTACCCACTGGAGGTATCAATTCAGTGGATTGCGGTAACATTGCTTTGTTCTTTGTCCTAAAGAGTCTGGTTTACGACCCGGTTGTTAGACCAGAGGAGCTCAAGAACCTTGATCGGTTTGTGGATGATATTTCGGGCCAAGGTATGTGGAGAGGTTCTATGATTGATTTTGAAGAATGGGTAGGGTCATCACGCAGTAAGATGGTTGATAACTATGGCTTAGATATTACATACGAAGTGAAACCAATCACGGAGTTCACTCAGTTCCTGGACATTCAGTACAAGCTTGTTGGAGGGAGACTCACAACAGATCTGTTTAGGAAACCTACTGACGCCAACAGGTATCTTGAATTCTCAAGTTTCCATCCACGACATACCTTCCGGAGTATAGTCTTCTCACAGGCACTTCGATACAGAAGGATAATCAATGATGACGTCTTGCTGGATGAGAGATTGGCAGAGCTTCAGTTGTTTTTTGAGCGGTCTTCATATCCTACTGATATGGTGAGAGAGGTCATCAGTGATGTCAGGTCGAGACCAAGAACTTTACAGTACAAGGAAAAGGATCAGGGTCCCCCTTCTTTCACACCATGGAATGTTACATTCGGTGCGGGCTATGAGGAAACCAAGGAAAAGGCTAAAGAGGCCAGTAACATCAAATAGCCGTACATGGAGCAGTGAGAACCCTGAGAGGATCCCTAAACTCCAAGTGGTCACCAGGCGAGCCCCTAACTTAAAGGACACTTTATTCAAGAGAAAGAAGCTAGCCTTAGGTTCAGAGTCAAGAACAACTGACCCATGCACCAAACCTGGTGAGAAGAAGAAAGGCAAACCCTGCCAAACTTGTCACCTTGCTAGTGGCTTAATTCCATGGTCTCCAATAATAATGGACACTCAGTCAGAACTCAATACAAGGTGGTAACTGTAAGACACGCAACATTGTGTACGGCGCGACGTGCAAACTTTGTACTGTTAATAACGTATACGTGGGAAAAACAGTCACCAGCCTCAGCCAACGTGTGAATGGTCATCGCAGTAAATATTATGAGATTTTAGAGGCGAGTAGTAAGGGGAATGTTGAGAGCCACAGAGATTTTGATGACGAGAATGTTTTAGGGGCACATCTTTATTTAGTTCATAATTTGAGGGAGAGATCTGATTTCAATGAAAGTTTCCATTTTGATATTTTGTGTTCTACATCCCCAGATAATATTAGAAAGTCAGAACAGTTTTATATTAACAAATTGAAGACACTTTATCCGTTTGGCCTGAACAATGTGAATTCCGTTTCTGGAAGCTAATTTTTCATGGAGTCCCGAATTTTATTTTTGAATCGTTCATTTTTTGTTTATATATTCAGTCTATCAATTTTTGAATTGCGTCTTTTTGATTTAATGAACTACTGCAGACTCCACATTATTATACTTATAGTATATGCCATTAATTTTGTTCCGATTTTAAACTATTCCATTTTGACGAGATTCTAAATTAATTTTTTGAGACTTTACTACATTTTTGATGAGAATTTTTGACATTTTTATACTATTATAACCATTGATATTCTCAGATTATGTGACTGATTAAATGCTGAAGATAAAAGAAATATATTCATTTTGCTAAGATTATGTTTGCGTTTCATTGCTCAAAGTCAACAGCTGTTCGAAGGATCAAATTTAAGAAGAACAGATGTTACTTTACATTTACATTCAAGAAGCAACTAATATCAAGATTGCTATATGCTTTTAAAGAATCCCATATCAAATAAATTAAAGGCTCGGAAGTCGAAAGTCGATGGTGCTGTAGTACTAGTATAGAGTGTAAATGTGTCGAGTAAGCATCAAAATATTTTAGTTTATGTTACATACAAATAATAAATAAGACGAGACAGAATATTTTATTACAGTCAATAAAGTTGGCATACGATGCAGTAATATGACGTGACATGATACGCATCGTTATATTTTTAACACGAAACAAAACCGCGCAAAGTATGAAATGATCTACAACCAAACCACATACTGATACAAATCGACGGCGACACCTCAGATGCACGCAGGATTTTTCAAGTTCTGTACGCCTAATATAATATAAACGATTATTACTTGCGCCAAACACCACTCTGCCCACTAACTCTGGGATACAATAAAGTAGACCAATTACATTGTATGCAGTAGGGAACTTTGAGCGTGCGTTGCGTGGTGTTACCGCGGCGAAATTCTTGTTAATGTGGAATTTTGAGTTAGTCCTTTAAAAAATATGGCGGCCTAATTCTGAAAAATGCCTGAAAAATTGTTTTATTTATTTAGAGATCTTTTTGACTTGGTTAGAATTATACATTGGAGGTCCCGGTTATTTAAGGAGAGTCCGTCTCGGAGGGATCTGAACCCACTATATTGACCGTCTTAAAACTTAGGTTTCGGGGAAATTATAATTTTGCTGGAATTCAGATCTTCGTGTTACTTTTTTTTTTCATTCGTCATTGTATTGTGATTTTAATCAATACTTTCAATTATGTTGGGTTGACACAAGTACAAATTGATACAACAATGTAAAGCAAAAATATGGTCGAAGTAAGCTTTTCATACTATAGTCTACACTAATTAAATTTAATCAACACAGGTGGAAATCTTTTGATAAATACCTAGTTAATGGAAATATCTTAGTCGCAAAAGTTTGTCCAACTAATCACCTTTCGACGTTTTTCCAAGCAATTGTGTAGGAGAGATACTATAAAAAAAATATAAAAATAAATAATAGAGTATTATTATTTTTCATAAAACACTTCCTCGCCAGCGGCGCTTATATAATCTCATGCAATAGAAATTGTTCCTAAAATCATGCACAATATGTTTGCCAATTGTTGTTAAGTAATATAAGCGATCTAATGCGATCACAAATAATCCAGGCTGAACCCCATCTCCCCTAAACAAGATTTACAAGAAATAACTTAAAATTTACCCTTAATAAACTAAGAAATTTTGTCCGTGTTCCATTTTAGACAACATCATTGTCATTTATCGCAAAACCTAAAAAAATATTGCAATCAGAAGAGCAGTCACCGAGAGGAGAACATTGATGGAGTGACACACTGCAAGTGAGTACTGACCCTCGTGTCCATCTTCCTCGTGTTCATCTTCGACTATTTCCTCCCAGGTTGCTGAGCAAGTTATTTATTAATTGAAGGTTAACAATGAGATTTTGCAAAATGAAAAGGGATGGATAATTAATGATATGTAAATGGGAGGTGGAACTAATTTGTTTTGAATTTTCAGAATGAACCACCTTGCACCTCTCCAGTCCCCATCATAGTATTAGTAATTATTAGATGTAGGGTCTAAAATTAAATTATAAATATGCAGCTCACTTCTATCCTGAGCGACGAGGGCCAATTCGTATATTTCAAATGGGTCTCCTACTTCTCCGTCTTCCATTGCGACAGTAATATAGTCCACCAGTATCCCAGCGCACGCTTCGATTTCTCCATCGGATGGATTATAGGTCTCAGCGTCCATCATACCACCCACGACTGGCTGTGGAGCAGAACAATCAAAATCTGTACATTTGCAGGGTTTCATCTCGTTGTCTGATGGCTTGCACTCCATAGGGTCCCAGCTGTTCTTACTCTCGGTTCGGAATGTTCTGACTTCTGTAATACAGTGCAATTTGTCTAGTTGAATCATAACCTGATTGTATCTATTAGCGTCTAATTCCATTTTGAGACCGGTCGACAATTCCAAGTCGAGCATAAGTTCACAATTTGTACAACTGGCATCATCGTATCTGGACAGGATTTCTGGCTTGATCTCTATCTCACCATCCAGCCGCTCTCGCAAATCTCCTTGGGACAGGCTGATCATCGCAAGAAAAAAAAGAGCTATTGTAAACTCTGTCATCATTCGTCAGGACTGATCAACAGCTAATTGAATAATCTTTGTTGAGAGAATATAACGAAATAAATGATTCAGAATGTAAACCCTGATTAACCGCGTCCATTATTTTCCCCCAAATTAGGAATTAATATGATAACAATCAATATAATACCTCGATTAACGGCGGCTTTTACTTTTCACTCAAACTACGCAGGTTTTACTGTAGTATACGTAAATTATGTAAATAGTAGGTGATACCTTTTCTTTCACTCACTGAACCTTTTCATAAAAATAGATCAGTTAATATCAACATGGATTCAATCAGTAATCCCAGTTTGTTTAAGCTAAAATGGGTCATGAGATTACCCTGTGCAAATCGCTAAGAGCTGCAGTGAGGACTCCGACTAGGGGGCTGAGCCCTTGAAAAGTTTCGAAACGTACGGCTATTAGAAAATAAAGCTCCCATTAACGGGTGATACTCGTAAAATATCTGTTCCATATATTGGACCGTCGACGAGTCCAACTCGGCGCGCGTCCTGGTAGGTTGTAAACCTACAAAGCTCCCACAGAAAAAGGCTCCCAGATAATAAAGCTCTTAGAAAAGGAGGTTTTTATAAAATAAGGATCTTAGAAAATAAGGCTCCTAAAAATAAGGTTCCCAGATAATAAGGCTCCTAGTTTAAAGGATAAGGCTTTTAGAAAATAAGGCTCCTTAAAGATAATATAAGGCTTTTTATAGAAAATACGGCTGATGAGAAGTACAGTACGTACAGTACGTACTTCTCAAAATACAAACAACAAACGAAATGATACGTTATTAATGATATTTCAGTGGGCGAAATTTTTACAATTCTGAGAAATAACTATGGGTGACAGTCTTAAAATTTTCCTAAAGTTTTGCTATAACACCTCTCCGGTCTTTCTGCCAGTTAGAGTGAAATATATATCAGTACGAGTTCTTATAATGTGCGAGGTCGAGGAATCTAATCACAACACAATTACATGACTGGGTTAAGAGGATTATTGTTATTGATAACATATTTGTATCATTACTGAAATGTTATGGTGTACGAGGTCGAGGAATCTTTACTCACTAGCCAGGGTGATATTAGGAAGCGAATTACAGAGTTTATTTTTACTTTAATGCGCGTATCGACTACTGCGTGCAAATTAATACAGGCATGGAGCTTTTCTAGCACTGCCGTCTGTTTCATTACCTCCCCTGAGTAATATGAACTATAACAACGTCGGATAATGGCCTTGGCAACACGATTTACGGTTTACCGTAATATACTAAGAGGCTGGAACAAGTTGTAAATGTAGGAATTAATATGATAACAATCAATACCTCGATTAACGGCGGCTTTTACTTTTCACTCAAACTACGCAGATTTTACTGTAGTATACGTAAATTATGTAAATAGTAGTTGATACCTTTTCTTTCACACACTGAACCTTTTTATAAAAATAGATCAGTTAATATCAACATTCAACATGGATTCAATCAGTAATCCCAGTTTGTTTAAGCTAAAATGGGTCATGAGATTACCCTGCGCAAATCGCTAAGAGCTGCAGTGAGGACTCCGACTAGGGGGCTGAGCCCTTGAAAAGTTTCGAAACGTAGGCTATTAGAAAATAAAGCTCCCAGATAATAAGGCTCTTAGAAAAGGAGGCTTTTATAAAATAAGGCTTTTATAAAATTAGGATCTTAGAAAATAAGGCTCCTAAAAATAAGGTTCCCAGATAATAAGGCTCCTAGTTTAAAGGATAAGGCTTTTAGAAAATAAGGCTCCTTATAGATAATAAGGCTTTTTATAGAAAATACGGCTGATGAGAAGTACAGTACGTACAGTACGTACTTCTCAAAATACAAACAACAAACGAAATGATACGTTATTAATGATATTTCAGTGGGCGAAATTTTTACAATTCTGAGAAATAACTATGAGTGACAGTCTTAAAATTTTCCTAAAGTTTTGCTATAACACCTCTCCGGTCTTTCTGCCAGTTAGAGTGAAATATATATCAGTACGAGTTCTTATAATGTGCGAGGTCGAGGAATCTAATCACAACACAATTACATGACTGGGTTAAGAGGATTATTGTTATTGATAACATATTTGTATCATTACTGAAATGTTATGGTGTACGAGGTCGAGGAATCTTTACTCACTAGCCAGGGTGATATTAGGAAGCGAATTACAGAGTTTATTTTTACTTTAATGCGCGTATCGACTACTGCGTGCAAATTAATACAGGCATGGAGCTTTTCTAGCACTAGTTCATAATATGAACTATAACAACGTCGGATAATGTCCTTGGCAACACGATTTACCGTAATATACTAAGAGGCTGGAACAAGTTTGTAATGTTGGCGGAGACTAACTCAAAGTAAAGGCACACACTGAACCTTTTTATAAAAATAGATCAGTTAATATCAACATGGATTCAATCAGTAATCCCAGTTTGTTTAAGCTAAAATGGGTCATGAGATTACCCAGTGCAAATCGCCAAGAGCTGCAGTGAGGACTCCGAATAGGGGGCTGAGCCCTTGAAAAGTTTCGAAACGTACGGCTATTAGAAAATAAAGCTCCCACAGAACAAGGCTCCCAGATAATAAGGCTCTTAGAAAAGGAGGCTTTTATAAAATAAGGATCTTAGAAAATAAGGCTCCTAAAAATAAGGTTCCCAGATAATAAGGCTACAGATACACCAAAAACGTTTTTGCTCCGAACATCGATTTTATTTTATATTATGGTTAAATAGACAAAAAGAATAAGATTGTACACCTTCAAAATTTTCTAAAATTATTCCCTCATCGAGAAAAAAAATATTTTTCTTTATCGAAAATTTTTTAAATTTTGAGAAGTCTGTCACTGTAATACAGATAGTTCGGCCATTTTAAAAGTTTTTTAGCTGATTTTTTTACTGAATATTACTTACAATCCGTACAAGAAGTAATTGAAAGGATTATACAATTGAACGATAAATGACGAAGTTACAGACCAAACAAGGTCGAAAAATAAAAATTGAAATTTTTCCCACTTCTAAAGTTGTATATCTCACCAATCACCCGGGTCAGCAGATATCGCTTCAAAAATTCTTATGAGTGTAGCTGATGATCATATCAAACTTTTTGGAGTAGGATTTTTCTCAGATTTGAGTTTTAAGCTATGCAATATGGCCTCAAACGACATAGTAAAATTCATCGTAAAAAAGGGCAAAAAATGCAGATTTAAGGCTTAAAATGCCTATAACTCAAAAAGTATCAGTTTTTTTGAAATAATTTTCACAGGATCGTAATCAGCTTGGTAAGACGAATCTTTTAGTACGACATTTATAATATTTAAAGACACAAAATTTGTAAAAAAATGTGGACAATTTGTACAAAATTTATACAAGGGGGGACCCTTGTGTTCGAGCTAGAAAATTATTTAAGACAATTTGTCTTCTAAAAGCACCTATTTGATACTAAAAGATTCGTCTTACCAAGCTGATTACGATCCTGTAAAAATTATTTCAAAAAACTGATACTTTTTGAGTTATAGGCATTTTAAGCCTTAAATCTGCATTTTTTGCCCTTTTTTACGATGAATTTTACTATGTCGTTTGAGGCTATATTGCATAGCTTAAAACTCAAATCTGAGAAAAATCCTACTCCAAAAAGTTTGATATGATCATCAGCTACACTCATAAGAATTTTTGAAGCGATATCTGCTGACCCGGGTGATTGGTGAGATTTACAACTTTAGAAGTGGGAAAAATTTCAATTTTTATTTTTTCGACCTTGTTTGGTCTGTAACTTCGTCATTTATCGTTCAATTGTATAATCCTTTCAATCACTTCTTGTACGGATTGTAAGTAATATTCAGTAAAAAAATCAGCTAAAAAACTTTTAAAATGGCCGAATTATCTGTATTACAGTGACAGACTTCTCAAAATTTTAAAAATTTTCGAAAAAGAAAAATATTTTTTTTCTCGATGAGGGAATATTTTTAGAAAAGTTTGAAGGTGTGCAATCTTATTCTTTTTGTCTATTTAACCATAATATAATATAAAATAAAATCGATGTTCAGAGCAAAAAAGTTTTTGGTGTATCTCCCCTTAAAGGATAAGGCTTTTAGAAAATAAGGCTCCTTATACCTAGATAATAAGGCTTTTTATAGAAAATACGGCTGATGAGAAGTACAGTACGTACAGTACGTACTTCTCAAAATACAAACAACAAACGAAATGATACGTTATTAATGATATTTCAGTGGGCGAAATTTTTACAATTCTGAGAATAAACTATGGGTGACAGTCTTAAAATTTTCCTAAAGTTTTGCTATAACACCTCTCCGGTCTTTCTGCCAGTTAGAGTGAAATATATATCAGTACGAGTTCTTATAATGTGCGAGGTCGAGGAATCTAATCACAACACAATTACATGACTGGGTTAAGAGGATTATTGTTATTGATAACATATTTGTATCATTACTGAAATGTTATGGTGTACGAGGTCGAGGAATCTTTACTCACTAGCCAGGGTGATATTAGGAAGCGAATTACAGAGTTTATTTTTACTTTAATACGCGTATCGATTACTGCGTACAAATTAATACAGGCATGGAGCTTTCCTAGCACTGCCGTCTGTTTCATTACCTCCCCTGAGTAATATGAACTATAACAACATCGGATAATGTCCTTGGCAACACGATTTACCGTAATATATAACTAAGAGGCTGGAACAAGTTTGTAATGTTGGCGGAGACTAACTCATGAACTATGTTGTTGAGTGCCATAATTTCGTTGACTTTTTCCGCAAAGTGCCCCTTGAAAACATCATATACTAGTAGTAGTAGAGTTTTTTTTTGAAAAATTTTTGAAAAAAAAGTCATCAACTTAGTAACACGACTTTCCACGAAAGCCGTGACGGCTTTCGTGGAAAGTCGTGTTACTAAGTTGATGACTTGGTGTCAGTAAAATGGCAATACCTTATCGGACCTTATTTGGACGGACATTAATTGAACGCTGGAGGCCTTAACGTTCATCTTAATGTCCGTTCAAATAAAGTCCGTTAATTTAATGTCCGTCGAAGTTAAAGTCCGTTGAATCTTTTTCAAAAATTCGAACTTTTTGTCCAGAATATGATAACTATGAGAACTTTATTGTGCCGTAAGTTAACGACGGAAAGGTTCTCTTTGGTCTGCTGGAGGCACAGAAAACTCTTCTACTACTAGTATATGATGTTTTCAAGGGGCACTTTGCGGAAAAAGTCAACGAAATTATGGCACTCAACAACATAGTTCATGAGTTAGTCTCCGCCAACATTACAAACTTGTTCCAGCCTCTTAGTTATATATTACGGTAAATCGTGTTGCCAAGGACATTATCCGACGTTGTTATAGTTCATATTACTCAGGGGAGGTAATGAAACAGACGGCAGTGCTTGGAAAGCTCCATGCCTGTATTAATTTGCACGCAGTAATCGATACGCGTATTAAAGTAAAAATAAACTCTGTAATTCGCTCCCTAATATCACCCTGGCTAGTGAGTAAAGATTCCTCGACCTCGTACACCATAACATTTCAGTAATGATAAAAATATGTTATCAATAACAATAATCCTCTTAACCCAGTCATGTAATTGTGTTGTGATTAGATTCCTCGACCTCGCACATTATAAGAACTCGTACTGCGATGTATATTTCACTCTAACTGGCAGAAAGACCGGAGAGGTGTTATAAATCAAGAGGCTTGCATATAATGAACATATTAACATGGGTGCAGAGTTGAGTCTGTACGGAACCTAGTAGTTTCAGTTCCTTGTTTAACTTGCCGTACAGCAAGGACATCCACTACTTTAGCCCGGCGAGGCATATAACTCACCCTACAACTCCATGTCAAATGTTTCATACCTTAGTGCAAGAAATATAGGCGGCAAGAAATTAAGGCGATTCTGACAAAATCGCCTTAATTTCTTGCCGCCTTAATATCTGACCACCGTAATTTCTAACCGCCTTAATTTTTTTTTCTTGCGATTTTTTCATAAGAAATTTTCGTGTGATTTTATTATTTTAAATTTACATGTCGATTTCGTTATTTGCTAGAATTCAATGAAATACATATTTAAAATAAATTAACTTGAGTCTAAATACATTAATATATCAATTAATATTCTCGTCTTCTCCTTCTTCATCAGAGTCATATATCTCCAGCAGTCATATATCTCCATAAGCTTTAAATCGAGTTTTAATTTTAAAAAGAAATAATTTTTAATTTTAATGATGATATGTAGTATACATACATAAAAATTCCTTGCCGCGTACAGAATGTGCACTATCATTTTGTCAAATGCAATGAATATACCAATTGACTTGCAGTTTGCTGATGTAGTGGATGTCTACCTAATTTAAAATTATAAACTTAGACGACAGAACAGCAATCACTATAAATATAATGTGCATGCACCATTTAGTTTTTATGTGACCAATGTCCAATATATCGTATTTTTAAACAGATTTCTATGCTTTATAGACTGATAAAAGAATAAAATTGACACTATTTCGACCAAAACTATAACCAAATTTGCGATCAAAAATCGTATTTTTTCCGAAAAAAATATCGCCTTAATTTCTTGCCGCCTTAATTTCTAGCGCCTTATATTCTTGCCGCCTATATTTCTTGCACTAAGGTATATACCAGCCAAGTTCACAAGACATATCCTTGTGTTTGAGAAGCGCTCGTTAGAACTGCTTCCTTTCCCCTCAGTATCCCACAGTCTCTCGAGTTTCGTAACGTAACAAATAGCAAAACTTTAGGAAAATTTTAAGACTGTCACCCATAGTTTATTCTCAGAATTGTAACAATTTCGCCCACTGAAATATCATTAACAACGTATCATTTCGTTTGTTGTTTGTATTTTGAGAAGTACGTACTGTACGTACTGTACTTCTCATCAGCCGTATTTTCTATAAAAAGCCTTATTACGGCAAGTTAAACAAGGAACTGAAACTACTAGGTTCCGTACAGACTCAACTCTGCACCCATGTTAATATGTTCATTATATGCAAGCCTCTTGATTTATTATCTATAAGGAGCCTTATTTTCTAAAAGCCTTATCCTTTAAACTAGGAGCCTTATTATCTGGGAACCTTATTTTTAGGAGCCTTATTTTCTAAGATCCTTATTTTATAAAAACCTCCTTTTCTAAGAGCTTTATTATCTGGGAGCCTTGTTCTGTGGGAGCTTTATTTTCTAATAGCCGTACGTTTCGAAACTTTTCAAGGGCTCAGCCCCCTAGTCGGAGTCCTCACTGCAGCTCTTAGCGATTTGCACAGGGTAATCTCATGACCCATTTTAGCTTAAACAAACTGGGATTACTGATTGAATCCATGTTGATATTAACTGATCTATTTTTATAAAAAGGTTCAGTGAGTGAAAGAAAAGGTATCACCTACTATTTACATAATTTACGTATACTACAGTAAAACCTGCGTAGTTTGAGTGAAAAGTAAAAGCCGCCGTTAATCGAGGTATTGATTGTTATCATATTAATTCCTAATTTGGGGGAAAATGATGGACGCGGTTAATCAGGGTTTACATTCTCTTATGGTTGGTGGGCTAGACAGTGAAACACGCAAATGTAGTGTATACTTCGTTAAATTACATCATTAGCTACAAAGGAATTAAGTTGGTTAGTTTTATTAGTACTATATATACGAAGATCTAAAATGCCTCAAACAATCGAGAATCAAATAACCTAAATAAAATACACAAGGTAAATGGAGATGAACTACACAAAAATATAGCTTCAAAAATGAAGCTTCAAAAAAGAAGAAATAAAAACTAAGAACCTTATCTTTCAACTTTGCATCTATTTAAACCCAAGCAATTAGTTCTATACTTCTCAATATACCTAAATTCCTCCCTATTTAATCCCCTGGGGTTACATTCTTTCAAAATGGCAAATTTATAGTTGCCAATAGTAAAAATGTCACTGTGATGTTCATAGGCATGAATCGAAAGGGCTGATTTATTACGATCCTCTACTTTAAAACAGGCTCTGTGTCCATTGACACGTTTATGAAAGTTTTGCATTGTTTGCCCGAAATAAGTGTCTTCTACAACTATCTCATAACCTTCTTCCTTTATAAGATTACAAAGCTTACATTGGGCCACATAAATAACATTTTTAGATTTACAATTATATCTGATAGGAACTACTAGCTTCTGTCCATTAACTACAAATTCTTCCCCTGCCCTACACATATGCCTGCATGTTCGGCATCTTGGTGCATTGCATTTCTGAGTCCACTCTGAATTATTTTCTGCCGGTGTTCTGCAGATAGCACTGTTTCTCAGTACTCTGTTACCAATCGAGCAGCCTTTCTTCGATGCCACCGTGATTTGTGTTGGGCCTAATAGTGCTTCAATGTCCGGTTCCAACTCCTTTAAGACTGATTTAAGCTGGGGCATCTCCGAGAGGTGTTGGACTGAAAACACCATGGAAGTTTTTTGGGGAACATGAACACTTCCTTCTGAGTTGGGTGGAGGATTGAACAGCTTCTCCAACACTTTTGGCTCTAAGGCGTTCAGTTTCGCTGAGTCGTGTCCACTACGACGCAAATCCGATTTCAATTGCTGTGGGTCCGCCTGCCGTGTATCCTCTCTTGAGTTCCTGTTAGCAATCCGAAGCATTTGGGAGAAGGCTACGGAGTTAAACACGTGTTTTGGGTGGAAACTGTCAGTACGGAGAAAATTCCTGGCATCTGTCGGTTTGGTGTAGAGCTTATATTGGATCTTGTTGGTTGTGTCCAAATACAAGGTTATGTCCAGGAAATTCACCTCCTTCCCCAATTCCCAGCTGCCAAACCTTATCCCGTATTCCGCTGCCAGTTGGTTCAATTTCTGTACAAAAGAATCAAACTGCCTTGCCGTACCCTTCCAGATTATGAAGCAGTCATCGATGTAGCGTAAAAACAGTTCAATGAGGCTATCCCAAGGGAGATCATTCCTAAGTTTTTTATGCATAAGCCAGTGCAGAAATAGATCAGCGATCTGCCTTGAATCGCATCCCCCTGTTGGGATCCCTTTCTCCGACTTATAACAATTGTCTCGGAACGTAACACAAGAGTGGTTAAAGGAGAGTTTGGTGAAATTCAGCAAAGCGTCCTTAGTCCTTTCAGATGTGGTTCGATCCGATTCAAAAGCGTCCGCCATGGCCTCTAGTGCTAAACGTGGGTTAATGGAGGGGTACAGGGCTTCCACGTCCAGGGTGGCTAGTAGGGTGTTTCCTCTTGGTGGGGATGAGTTGTGTTGCTCGATTTTCCTCATAAGATGGGGAGTGTCAAGCAGGAATTCATCTCCACAGTAGTCCTGGCTGATTTTTGTTAGGTGTGGGCTTGACCATTGCCCTAGTCTATAGAGGGGACCATGCTTTGCTGCATTGATGAATCTTTGTGGTGGTACAACCTTGTTCCTGATTTGTTCTTCTGATAGCTTGTGTACTTTGAACAAGGGCCAGATTTTTGGTGGTACTGGTCTGTAATCCGGGCTGTGTTTCATGTTATTATCCGTGTTGAGACCTGTTATTATAGTCTTGTCCTTAGATGTTATGTGCCCAATGTGTTCTTGGGCCAGGACCTCCTTAACTATCTCCGTTCTGGTGTTCTCCATGTAGTCTTCAATAGTAGAATCTAATTTCGTATACTTCCTAGTATCTGATATTTCCTCTTTTATCGTGTTCACGACGACGTCATAGTCCAGGATCAGTGTGGCTCCCCCTTTATCGGCTTTTGTTACAAACACTCTTTCTTCTTTTATGAGTTGTAGCAGAAGTTTCCTTCCTCGGATTTCGCGTTTTCCTAGATTACTTTCAGGTGTGGATAGCTGTGTGTTCGCGACCCATCCTAGTAATCTAGTTTTCAACTGATCCAGTAGGGGATGGCTGTAGTCCGGGTGGGAGGTTCCTGACACACGCATGTGTCCGTGGATGTCTTCTTCTCTGGAGTCTGAATCAATCCAGGGTCTCTGTTTGAAGTAAGCCTTCCACTCAAGCTTCCTGATAAAGTTTTGGCAATCAAAAAGTAAGTCTTCTCTGTCCGCTTTGTTAGATTCAACAAAGTTGAGCCCTTTAGCCAGGTACAAGTTTTACATTCTGAATCATTTATTTCGTTATATTCTCTCAACAAAGATTATTCAATTAGCTGTTGATCAGTCCTGACGAATGATGACAGAGTTTACAATAGCTCTTTTTTTCTTGCGATGATCAGCCTGTCCCAAGGAGAAATGCGAGAGCGGCTGGATGATGAGATAGAGATTAAGCCAGAAATCCTCTCCAGATACGATGATGCCAGTTGTACAAATTGTGAACTTATGCTCGACTTGGAAATGTCGACCGGTCTCAAATTGGAATTAGACGCTAATAAATACGCTCAGGTTATGATTCAACTAGACAAATTGCACTGTATTACAGAAGTCAGAACATTCCGAACCGAGAGTAAGAACAGCTGGGACCCTATGGAGTGCAAGCCATCAGACAACGAGATGAAACCCTGCAAATGTACAGCTTTTGATTGTTCTGCTCCACAGCCAGTCGTGGGTGGTATGATGGACGCTGAGACCTATAATCCATCCGATGGAGAAATCGAAGCGTGCGCTGGGATACTGGTGGACTATATTACTGTCGCAATGGAAGACGGAGAAGTAGGAGACCCATTTGAAATATACGAATTGGCCCTCGTCGCTCAGGATAGAAGTGAGCTGCATATTTATAATTTAATTTTAGACCCTACATCTAATAGTTACTAATACTATGATGGGGACTGGAGAGGTGCAAGGTGGTTCATTCTGAAAATTCAAAACAAATTAGTTCCACCTCCCATTTACATATCATTAATTATCCATCCCTTTTCATTTTGCAAAATCTCATTGTTAACCTTCAATTAATAAATAACTTGCTCAGCAACCTGGGAGGAAATAGTCGAAGATGAACACGAGGAAGATGGACACGAGGGTCAGTACTCACTTGCAGTGTGTCACTCCATCAATGTTCTCCTCTCGGTGACTGCTCTTCTGATTGCAATATTTTTTTAGGTTTTGCGATAAATGACAATGATGTTGTCTAAAATGGAACACGGACAAAATTTCTTAGTTTATTAAGGGTAAATTTTAAGTTATTTCTTGTCAATCTTGTTTAGGGGAGAGGGGGTTCAGCCTGGATTATTTGTGATCGCATTAGGCGCTTATATTACTTAACAACAATTGGCAAACATATTGTGCATGATTTTAGGAACAATTTCTATTGCATGAGATTATATAAGCGCCGCTGGCGAGGAAGTGTTCTATGAATAATAATAATACTCTATTAGTATCTCTCCTACACAATTGCTTGGAAAAACGTCGAAAGGTGATTAGTTGGACAAACTTTTGCGACTAAGATATTTCCATTAACTAGGTATTTATCAAAAGATTTCCACCTGTGTTGATTAAATTTAATTAGTGTAGACTGTAGTATGAAAAGCTTACTTCGACCATATTTTTGCTCTACATTGTTGTATCAATTTGTACTTGTGTCAATCCAACATAATTGTAAGTATTGATTAAAATCACAATACAATGACGAATGAAAAAAAAAGTAACACGAAGATCTGAATTTCAGCAAAATTATAATTTCCCCGAAACCTAAGTTTTAAGACGGTCAATATAGTGGGTTCAGATCCCTCCGAGACGGACTCTCCTTAAATAACCGGGACCTCCAATGTATAATTCTAACCAAGTCAAAAATATCTCTAAATAAATAAAACAATTTTTCAGGCATTTTTCAGAATTTGGCCGCCATATTTTTTAAAGGACTAACTCAAAATTCCACATTAACAAGAATTTCGCCGCGGTAACAGTAACACCACGCAACGCACACTCAAAGTTCCCTACTGCATACAATGTAATTGGTCTACTTTATTGTATCACAGAGTGGTGTTTGGCGCAAGTATTAGTAATAACCGTTTATATTATATTAGGCGTACAGAACTTGAAAAATCCTGCGCGCATCTGAGGTGTCGCCGTCGATTTGTATCAGTATGTGGTTTAGTTGTAGATCATTTCATACTTTGCGCGGTTTTGTTTCGTGTTAAAAATATAACGATGCGTATCATGTCACGTCATATTACTGCATCGTATGCCAACTTTATTGACTGTAATAAAATATTCTGTCTCGTCTTATTTATTATTTGTATGTAACATAAACTAAAATATTTTGATGCTTACTCGACACATTTACATTATATACTAGGGCTCTTACTAAATCGCTCGCCCAAAAATTTCACGTGACTTTGGTTTTTTTGGTTTTGCAGCCGTACAAAACGGTTTTACATAAACCCTAATCCCAACCGTAACCCTAACCATAACCCTGAAGTTGCTCTATCCAGAGCCCTCTCGCTTGCAGTAGCGCGCGACCTGCCGTAGGCGGCAAAAGATCCTACTTGTGAAACAAGCGCGTCACGCAGTACGCGTAGGCACATGGCTATGTGAAACCCTGAAGCTATCCATAATCTTAACCACAACCCTAATTAGCTAACCCTAACCCGAGCCCTAAATAATCGAATTTACGTTTTACTAGCCTGTCACGTGACCAAAACGGTATTTTGCCCATAACTCTCCAGGGAAGCATTTTAACCCTACGTCATGGAGGGTGATTCGGAATCAGCGTCCAAAAATACACCGATCTAGATCACTTTCGTGCTTAAAGGGCCTTTTCACAAGAATTTTCTTAAAATTTGGGCGAGCGCGAGCGATTTAGTAGGTGCGATATTTTAGTACTACAGCAAAATATTAGTCAGGGACGAAACGGAATCTCGTTAGCTTTTCGTGTTAAAAGCGATTTCTCAACGGTTATCACCTCTCTAGATGATTCTTAAAACATTTGGACTTCATTGCATTTTTGAAATAAATGCAATGAGGGCGTTTTCGGCCACACCCTTTTTCAGGGTTTCGCGGTCACTCGAATTTTTGTATATCAGCTCAGGAAGGTCTAAAAGACTATTCTGATACACCAAAATGTGCCTAATAGCCACATTTATATACAACTTATGAAGCAACATATACCTTACAATGCTTCGTTTCGGAATTATGGCCGAAAAACGGTTTTTGGCTTGACGCAGTTCATAATTTCCGTGATTTTTGGCATTTCCGCCTAGGAAGGTCGTAGAGACTATTCTGATATACTAAAATGTACATAATGGCCACATTTATGTACAACTTATGAAGCAACATATACCCTAAAAGGCTTACTTTCGGAAATGTGGCTGAAAAACGAATTTTTGCCGAGCGAACAAGACAGTATTCACAAATGGGCTATTGGACTGTTAACTAAAAAGGTCTTAAAGAAGACTCATGAGGAACATAGCATTTGTCACAAGATGTAAGATGACTCACTTTGTGTCCAGAAACACTCACAAAAATTGTAGAATAATCTACTTTATTGGGCATCTCTCTTAATGGGCCAGGACAGCAGCATATTTTTGTCTTACGAAAGGGCAATTTTTCAAAATTACGGTTTCTTTAGTAAAGGTCAAAGTAAAGGTCAAAGGGTCAGTTGCTAACAGCAGATTGTTTGCAATTGCCGACTCATGCACATCATATACTCAAAAACGTTCACTTTAGGAGTCATTAGTAAATAAGTTTAACTATACTGCATGATTTGTGAAAACTCCAACAATTTTTCATTGGCACCAATTTAGCCAAAATGTAAATTCAACTTTTAATTTATTCATTCCATAAAACCATATTGTTGCTTGACCGCTGACCAGTACCCCACTTTATAATTATAATTGACTTCACTGCCTCGACCAATATTGGTCTGTAATCCCTGGATTGAGATCTGTTGGCTGCAGTTTAATTTAGCTCATTTACCATTTAAATAGTAATTTACCGCAGTGGTTTGGTTCGCATAGATTTTCCCATCGTATGATAATGTGTGTCATTCCCTCGTTTTTTAATCAAGTGGTTACTAGCTAGCTCTTTTGTTATTACAGCTGCCTCGAGATCTTATCTAGGGCACTAATGCATTAGTACTAGAACACTAGAACTGTAATTCTAGAACTTCAGATTAAGATTACTTGACTGAATGGCAGGGTTCGAGAGTCGACTCTAAAACTCTCAGTTTAGGAGTGATTAGTAGATGCATGATGTGCGAAAACTCTAACTAGACAAGGATCATGCTTAATAAAAGTGTTCCTCGACTTGAACTTAAGTCTCGTAAGCCCAAACTGGAGTTTGGGCCACTGAATAGAATACAACCTGATATTAATTTTAGGATTTCGGGAAATTCATTCAGATTTTTATTCTTTGGTTTTTCAATTGTGCTACGAATCCGAGTTTGAGTTGATAACACCGAATTTCCTGTTTGACTCTCAAAGAGAGGAACCAAGGCGTAGGTTCCTCTTTTTGGCTCTGAGATCCAACTTTAAGATCGGACTTCGGAGATCATTGCGTCGGAGATCATGTAAGTGTAAAATCAGTACCGGAGATCAGACTTTTTTGCTTGATATTGGACCTATAAATCTAATGATATATTCGAAACAGCACGGGATTTAACCAAGGTTAATTTAGATAATATATACCAGTTTTCGGGGTTACAAGACCCCACGAAAGGCAGGCAGAGCATCCTAAATCCTCATGCTATCCTCACGTTGACCATCTAGGTCCATACCCCAGCCTCTCATTAGAAAACAGCTACTAGGCCCGATATCCGTCCCTTGTCCCGTAGTACTAGCGCCCCGTAAGTAAGAGATCGTTCAAATTTTGGTCATTTAGACCCCCTCCCCGCTCTAAAATCCACTTTAGCACTTTACCGAAAGCTGGAAAAATTTCACATGTGAAACCTAAATAGCTAAATCAGCATCTCGAGACCTTCTATTATATAAACCCCGTGATCCTACTATAATCTTATAACTTATAAGGCATTGCATGCCGAAATTAAGATC